TGCACCTGTGTCATGCAATGCCACGGAGGTCAGAAGAGGGCTTCGGATTCCCCTGGAACTGGAGTTAAGGACGGTTCATAGCTGCCTTGTAGGTGCTGTGAATCGAACCCGGGTCCTCTGCAAGAGCACTCAGTGCTCTTAGCTGCTGAGCCATCTCTCCAGCCCCAGGGTTTTGTTTCTTAATCCATTCACCTAGTCTGTGTCTTTTGATTTGGTAATTCAGTCCATAATATTTAAAGTTATTAATGAAAGATGTGTATTGAATCCTTTCATTTTTATTTCTGTTCACATTCTCTCTTTTTTTTTTTGGTCTTTTTGATACAGGGTCTCCCTGTAGCCACAGCTGTCCTGGAACTCACTATGTGTCTGTTCACATTCCTGATATAGCTGTACTTTTCCACAGTTATATCTTAGTTGAATTTCTTTCTACAACCCCTTAGGTATAGTCATTCCTTTCTTCAGCTCTTTGTATTGCTTCCAGAATTCTCTGAAGGACTAATTTTATAGACATGAATTCCTTCAGCCTGTTTATGTTGTGGAAGATTTTTCTTTCCCCTTTGACTATAATAGACATTTTGGCTGGTTATAGTAATCTGGATTGGCATCTGTGGTCATTTAAAACTGGGAATACTTTGGTCCAGGCTCTTCTGGCTCTCATAGTTTTCACTGAAAAGTCAGCTGTAATCCTAATGGGTTTTCCTTTATATGTGACTTGTTTTTCTTTTTTAGTTTTCAACATTGTCTCTTTGTTCTGTACGTTCAGTGTTTTTACTATGATGTGCCATGGAGAGTTTCTTTTCTGGTCCTGTCTGTTTGGTGTTCTATATGCTTCTTGTATTTGTATTTCTATTTGTAAAATAGACTTCTCGTATTTGTATTTGTCTTTCTTTAATTTTGGGAAATTTTCTTCAATGATTCTGTTGAGGATCTGGTCCATGCCATTATCTTGGGATTCTTCTTCCTGTATGCCTATGATTCGTAAGTTTGGTCTTTTTATGGTGTCACACAATTCCTGCATACTCCATTCTTGTGATTTCTTAAATTTTTCACAATCTTTTCTTGTGTGGTCTAGTTGGTCCACTTTGTCTTCCAGTCTTGATACTCTGTTTTCCATTTCGTTCATCCTATTGGTGAGGCTTTCTCCTGTCGTTTCTAATTGGCTTATGGAGTGTTTCACTTCGTTCTTTATTTCAGCCTGAGTATTCTTCAATATTTCTAGCTCTTTTCTGAATTCATTCAGAAGTTTATCCCTATCTTCCATCAGCTCTATGATTACCTTGTTTGTGTGTTCTTTAAATTCAGTGAATTCTTTTATCATATTCATCATTGTTCTTCTAGGGGGTTCTCATTGTACTCCTCTAGAGGACTATTGGTATTTGGTGGGCTATGTTATTTTGTTTTTTCATGTTATTATATTTTCTGTGTGATTTTGACATGTAAATTTCTTTTGTATTTTCTGTTTTTTTGTGTGAGACTCAAGCCTTCAAATTTAGGTCTGCTTCTTTTTGTAAACTTTATGGGCCTTTGTGGTTTCCTTTTTCGGCATGAAAAGCTGGCTCATCTAAGATTCCCATTCTCTCTTTTGAGTTTATACTGGAGTGGCCAGATTGCTTTTGTCTTCAGGAGTTCCCATAGAGGCCCAAGTCAGATGTGCATCAGATGCTCTCAGGCTTTCTCATCAGGTCTGGATCCCTCCAAGAAAGATGTTGTCCTTAGGAATTTTGGGTTTGGACTGGCCTAGGAGCAGGGCCCAGGAAAGATGCTGGTCTAGGGTAGCTGGTGGCCATGCCACCCAGAGACGCAAAGGGAGATGGGGGCGGGAAGAGGCCCCAAGGGCTCCTGGAGACTGCAGGGAGGAACTGGGTTGGTCTGGATGCAAAGGATCTGGAAGCCCTGGTGTCCAGGAAAGAAGCTGGTGGGTTGTGCAGCCCAGGGAAGCAGAGGGAGGTGAGCAACCTGCAAACTTTAAAAAAAAGTTGGCTTGATGGCTCAGTAGGTAGCCAGACTACCAGAGTTTGATCTCCTGGGCCCACATGGTGGAAGGAAGGAGAGAGCCATAAGCTGTCCTTTGATCTCCCCATGCCCCCCATCATATACACAACACAATAATAAAGACAAAACCCACAAAAGACCTTTCTATCCAGAGATATTTTTGCATGTGTGCATGTGTGTGTGTGTGTGTGTGTGTGCATGTGTATGTGTACATATGAGGCATGCACCTGAGCATGTGGGTGTTGTATTCATGTAGAGGCCAGTCTCCTTACATGTCTTCCTCTATCAATTGCCACTTTATTGCCTTGAACCTGAGTCTCTCACTAAACAGGAAGCTCACCATTTCAGTTAGGCTGAGTGTCCACCAGCTTCCAGGATCTTCCTGCCTCCACAGGACCCCCCACCCCCTGCGCAAGCCCCAAATGCTGGCGTTACAGGCATGTGTTCCTGACTCTTTTGGGGGGGGGTGTCTTTTTGAAACGGTGTCTCCCTGTAGCTACAGCTGGCCTGGAACTCTCTTTGTAGAACAGGCTGGCCTCAAACTCACAGAGATTAGCCTGCCTCTGCCTCCCAAGTCCTGGGATTAAAGTCGTGTGCCATCACACCTGGCTGTGTTCCTGACTCTAATGTAAGTATTAGGGATTTGAACTCAGGTCCTCAAGCTTGCATAGCAAGCACTCTTACCCACTGAGCCATCTCCTCAACCCCTAGACTGTTTTTAGTACATATATGCCTTTAGGGTTGGGGATGTTCAATTCCACAAAACATTCTCAAGTGTGTATTATTAATCTAAAGACAGGAATAAAATACTATAATGAAGGGTTTGTATAACTCTAAGGCACATTTTTTATTTGTTCTTTGAGTAAATTTCTAAAATTAGTTAAAAAAAAAGCAGTATTTTAAAGCTTTATATTATATAAGGTAGCCTTCACAGAAAGATTTTGCCAATTGTATGCTTTTACCAGAAATATATAAATACCAATTTTGCCTCTTTCTGATCACAATAGTTATTAACATTCTTTTAATCTTTGCCAGTTTCAGAGATGAAACATTTAAGTAATTAAGTAAAATTTGAATTTTGTCTTAGTTTTATGACCAGTTACTGAGTAAGGTAGTTTTTTTCTTGTTTATTGTCTATTATTATTTTCTTTTATTTTAGAGAGCTACCTACTCATGTTCATTTGCATTTTTCTACAGTTATTTTTTTTTTTGTTTTTTGTTTATTTTTTTTTTTTTTTTTTTTAGAGAGCTACCTACGCTTGTGTATGTGTTTTTTTCTATTGAGAGCTCTCTCTCTCTCTCTCTCTCTCTCTCTCTCTCTCTCTCTCTCTCTCTCTCTCCCCAGTTGCTACACTTTTAAAAGTAGTTAAATTTATTGAGCTGCTAGGGGTGGTAAGAACATTTTTAAATTCTGAAACTCATGTTCTGATTATTCAATTTAGAAGTTTAAAGATTAAACAGTTTACTTAAAGATCAGTGAGGGTGAGGTGAGGCTGAGATTAAGAACATCAATTAAAAAAAACTTGTAAAAAACTTGGCTAGGGTGTTTCAGTGGTAGAGTATGTGCTTAACATGTGCAGCCTGCACAAAGAAAGGAAAGGGGGGGGAGGAGAGAATGGAAGGGAGGAAGAAAGGGGATACAATCTAGCACTCAAGAGGCTAAGGCAAGAGGATCACAAGTTTCAGACCAGCCTGAGCTACATAGAGAGGCACTTCTCCCCTCTCTGCTCTGCCCCCCCCCAAAAAAAAGGAAAAAGAAAAGGCAAAAATGAGATATGTGCACAGGCACCAAAATACTTACAAAGTATTATTCCTAGATGATAGAATGATAAAATATAAATCTAAAGTGAAATCACAAGAGACCTTTTTTCTTTTAACATTTATTAATTTATTTGCCTATTTATTGTGTATGTGTGTATGTGTATGTGTGTGTGTGTGTGTACAGGTGTGTATGACATAGCACACATATGGAGGTCAGAGGGTAATTGGTGGGAGTTGGTTCTCTCCTTCCTCTTATCATGAGGCTTCTGGGGATTGAACTCAGGTTGTCAGGTTTGGCAGCACCCACTGAGCCATCCCACAGTCCCCAAGAGACTGTTTTCTTTTTGCTTTTATATTTTTATTTTGAGATAGGATCTCCCTTTGTAAACCAGGGTATCCTCATATTTAAGATCCTCTTGCCTCACATTCCTGAGTGCTAGAATTACAGGCATGTGCAGCATGTTTTTATTTTTTATGAAAAATACAAAATAGAGAATTTTGCCTGTCTGATTTTGTAGCGTGTGACTATTTTCTTTTTAGGTTTCATTTGTTTCTTCTCAGCAGTGATTACTGCTGGAATGTTATGTTTTTAGAAAGAATTACTCTGATGCTGAAAGATAAAATAGCTAACAGATACCTAGATAATGAGCACAGATCTATTTATTTATCATTTGCATATATTTATTATTTATTAGAAAGTTTTTCATGTGTGTATTTCGCCTGCATATATGTGTTTGCCTGCTGCCAGTGAGGCCAGAAGAGGGCATCAAATCCACTAAAACAGGAGTTATCAATGGTTGTTAGCCACAATGTGGGTGCTGGGAATGGAACCCAGGTCCTCTACAAGAGCAGTAAGTGCTTTTAACTGCTGAGTTGTCTCTCCACCACCTGCATTTATTCTGTGAAACAGGTCTCACTTTTGTTGCCCAGGCTTATCTCAAATCCCTGGTCTCACATGCCCTCCTGCCTCAGCCTCCCAGTAGCTAGGAATACAGGCATGCACCAAGTGGGATCAGTTTCTGAATTCTAGTACAGTAAAAATCTCCCAAGAATTACCAATTTTCTTGACTATAATTGTCACTGACAACCCAGTGATTAGATATGAGGCACACTCTCCTTCCAGAGTGGCCCTGCCTTTGGGAGATCAGTTTTAGAAGTGACCTTAACAGATGGGAGTGAGAGGGAACCATGCTTCTGTTAGCAAGTGACCTTTGCAAACCTGTTGTTTCTTAACCTAACTTAGATGTCCATCCAGGATAAAGAAGCTGCAAAGAAAGAAGTGGTTCTTCTGGCAAAGATGAAGCATCCCAACATTGTAACCTTCTTCAGTTCATTTCAAGGTTAGACTTTTCTAACATTATTAAAGTATTCCAATGAATCATATAGATATGTTGACTTTTAGAAACAGTATGTTCCCAAGAATTGTGTAAAGATTAACTCATTTTCTTGTTTACTTAAATTATAATAGAAGACATTGTCTTTATTTCCTAGCTAGTAAGCATTTCGTTTTTTTTTAAATTAATCAAGATATTTAATAAATGATGCAAGCCATAATTTCATCTGAAAATAAATGTATGCACATTTCCAACGAGTTATCTATCAATCATTACAAACAGCAACGAAGATCTTAGAGCTATATTAGAATACTATATAGCTGGAATTTCATTCTAACAATCTTATTTGCTAAGAGAACACATCCATTTCAAATCAGTGTCAAAAAACTCCAAAAACCCAGGGGAGTGGGATTTACATGGGCCAAGGTGGGAAACACAGAGGCCGGTACCCAGATGATAAACAGAAACACAGCTCTAGAGGAAACCAAAACAAGATGTGTCATTACAGATAAGGATGAGGAAAAGTGGTTTTAAAAATGACTTTTCTGGGAGGCAGAGTGTAATGGTTTGAATGAAAATGTTCCCCATAGGCTCCAAGTATTTGGACATTTTGTCCCCAGATGATGGTGCTGTTTTG